ACAGATAGATAGACAGATAGACAGAGCGGGTCAGATAGAGACGCAAAGCTAGCTAGATAGGCAACTCGCTCAACAAGTAGGTCGGCCGTACATAGATAGATAGTGTGCAGGTCTTAGTGTATAATATACACGCACACCATGTGCTGATATGCGTGAGTGTATATATCTATATATGTGTATGGAGATAGCGGGTGTGCACTTTGAACACTTGGATGCAGGATGAACTGGGACGCGACAGCATGGACGAGAAAGACATGTCTCCCGCCACGAGGCCGTTGTTTAGGGCTGTCGGCGTTTAACCTGCAAAGTTGCGAGGGATGATTGGGTTTCGGCATCTAGCTCTATACAGGGTAGGTGTAAAAGGTTTGGGCTCTGGGGCTGTTGGGCTTTCAAGGGTTTCAGGTCGTGCGGGTTGGGGTTTGGAAAATCACGAAGATGCCCCGTAAATTTGCAGTACCCTGGCTCCTACAGTATACTACTCATCCCATTGCAAACCCTTTGCTCAACGTCAGGGGGGGTGGGGCGGGGGGGGGGGGGNNGGGGGGGGGGGGGGGGGGAGGAGGGTCTTTCTCAATTTAGGATTTGTGCTGTGAAGCTTGTATTCTGTTCCTTGACTTCTGTCTTCTGTACTCCTGAGGGGTTTTTCGGATTTGTGCTTAAGTTGACTTTTTCCGCAGCGAAGAGAACAAATCCTGGAGTCTGAGAACTGGCAGCCTGTGCGGCTCGAGCCACGCTTGTTAGGGCGAAGGGTCACAAGACAGAAAGAATGTTCGTAGGTTCGCTGCACGGCTCGAGACTGCTCATGAGGGTTGAGGCTTTCTTGCAGTATGTTTTGTGCAGTCATACGGTGCAGCGACGCACCTACTTTGGATCTGCAAGCCTTGAACCTAACATAAAGACGCCGTGAACTCCTCGGTCGTGTAAGCTGTGGATCTTCGAAGCAGAGGGTGATGAGGTTTGTGTTGCAGGGGTTATGGTTATGCTGAAGGTAGACTATAATGCACTCTGTGAGCCACTCCTTCGATGTTCGGCAAAGACTCCTAAATAGAACCTTGAAGGTAGAGTCTTGACAGGAAGGTCGGACCCAAGACTCTGTGTTCTCCAAGCCCCGGCCCGGATCATTCCAAAACTTTATTGCGAAGCCCGACGTCCTCAACCCTGAGCAACAAGCAGTCAGAAGCAGCAAGAGAGCCCAGAGAAAACATGGGCTCCAGCGATGGCGAATCGCTTGCGGCTGCTACGTACAGCATATATTTGGTCGTGCCCTGAGTCGAAATGTTAATGGGCTTTGGAGGCAAGGTATGAATATGTATGTATGTATGAATGAATGTATGTATGTGTGTGTGTGTGTATGTGTGTATGTGTGTGTGTACGATGTGTGTATGTATGTATGTATGTATGTATGTATGTATGTATGTATGTATGTATTCATGTATGTATGTATGTATGTATGTATGTATGTATGTATGCATGTATGGTATGCAGTATGTAGGTATGTATGTATGTATGTATGTATGTATGTATGTATGTATGTATGTATTCATGTATGTATGTATGTATGTATGTATGTATGTATGCATGTATGGTATGCAGTATGTATGTATGTATGT